GACATAGGATGACAGGTCATTTTCAATTAATTGGTGCCTAAATTATGGAGGGATCTATATTTTAATACAAAAAATAAATATGTGGAACAGTTGCCCAAGATATGAATCTTGGGCAACGGATGTCTAGCAATAATTTTCTGACTTGATTTTTTTCTTTAAATATTTTCCTTTTTTTTAGTTTTACACACAGAAATATTTAGTGTGCAGTATATTGATGGTGTAATTAAATGGCTTGTAGCATTGACTACTTTTCATTTTTTAAAACAAAATACCAGTCAGCAAAAAATCCCAACTATTGGCTGTTTTCTTTTGAAAGAGAATATCCCAACTGAGCCATATCCTGTCTTGGCTCATTGGAAACATTTATAGTATGCAGAAGACAGAAAATCCCATGTTCAGGAAGAAGCAGCAAAACCAGCGTAGGAGTAATAGAGCCTGTTTTGAAAAATCTATGACAGTGTATACAGAAAAAAGTAATTATGGATTTATATTATTTGTATTGAATTGATTTGGATTCTAAGTACTGAAAGCTTGTAAGGTACTATTACTTTCAACCTCATTTCACCAAAAAAAAAGAGGAAAGAAATAGAAGTTTTCAGCTAACTACATTTTTAAGGTGCTGTATTTGGCACTGATCACTGGAAAAATGCATTTGTAGGAAAAGAAAATTAGTCAGAAAACAGAGAACCAGCCAAAATAATTCATATTTGATATTCATTATCTTATTACAAATGGTCAGGAGCCAGTGGCTGATATCCTGTAGGCAGCACGCAAAGAATAATAATGCATTCTACTGAAATTTATATTTTCCCTTGTGTTGAATCTGATGATTTTTGGCACAATATGCAATGGTAGAATTGTCCTGAAATGTTTGCAGGGTCATTCTTGGCAGGAGTTTCAGTGGTGTGCTGAACTGAGTGTCTTGGTCTAGGTGTGCAGGTAGGGGATGAGATGAGTCACTCAACTAGGTGTCTGCCCTCCCATCCACACCTTCTATCGCTAGGGAAAATACAGTTGGAGGGAAATGGTGGGTAGTTAGTGATATGAACAACAGCTGGAATTAAAAAGGGATGCACTCTAGAAATAGTGGTATGGCTGCTTGCAACTTGCACATTGTAAAGTGAAAGTAATTTCTTATATAAACCCCTGGCATCATGATGCTTATGGAGAAGTGAAAGCTTTCTTCCAACAATGGGCAATAATTAAAGGGGATTTTTTGGTGAAACAAATTACATTTTTTAATAAACTGTGCAAGTTTACATTTGAATTGAATATTTATTTAGATGCTATGTATTGTTTAGGGGCTATCAGTATAGTGAGGATGTTGGAATTGCCCATTTCAAACAGAAACGCATGGAATTCTCCTCTGTTATTGTTGCTAGAAGCCTCCAGAGTGAAGTGATTAATTATGCCAGGAAAAAAATACAACCATTATGGAATGTGAATGTGATGCATGGAATAGCAGGAGGAGCCAAGGGGCAGTCTGCAGAGCTGTGCTGACTGTTAATTTGGACTACGACTGCCAGAACCCCCAGGGGCTGGGGGCGTGGGGCAAAGAAAGAAGAAAAAAAGAAAAAGGAAGCTTGAAGCTGGAGTAAGGGGAAGAGAGAGCAGGGTGCATGGGGAACATGGTCAGCCCCACACAGAAAAGTATGCAGTAGAGATGAAGATCTCACTGGCTGTCAGCCAGGACTGGACTGAAGGAGCTGGGCTCAGACTTGGGGGCAGCTGCAGACTGCTGTACGAGCACTCTAGGGCCTAAAGTCTCGTTTGGGGACATCTCCGGAGGTGTGTTGGGGAGGGGCAATGAAGGTGCTGAATGTATGCTACCACAGTGTGGATGTTTCTTTACCTTTTATCTGTTCCCTCCCTTGGTCCCATTAGCTCGTGACCCTAAACCTTACTATTTTCTGTATAAAAGTGGAAACTCCCCCTTGCTGCTTGTGCCAGTTTCTGGGGCTGCAGGGTTGGCACAATTATTTAATTAAGCTGTGTTATCAAGCTGCCAGTTATGGAAAAAGGGGGGAAGCCATTGTCCCAAGTTCCCAACTTCTTAGCCTTATTCTGGATATCTTAAAAGACTAAACAAGATCAGAGAACAGTTTAAATTATTAAATAATTAAACTGGTGGATAATTTGCCTTAGGGCTTTACTACTTGACATTACTTTGCACTTGCCCTGTTCCATTCATATGCACTTGAAAACTTTACACCTAATGAGAAAATTCTACAATAGTGTTTTTTAAAGTTTTGACTTACTGACATTTGTAAACATTGAGTGATGGATTCCTTCATGGTCCCTCTACTCTTTGCCCTACCTCCTCTTTTCCCATGCCACTCCTTATACTGAATCATCTGTCCTTCAGACTTTTCAAGAAATGAAAAAACTGGTTTTCAGTTTATATACCAAATGTATAGGTTTTGGAAGAAATAGTCATTACTAGGTTATACCTGTTTAGAAATCCTATACTTCAGCAATTATCACATGGGTTGCTGCAGTAATTGACTACTACCTTTCCCATCTATAGCAATTTTAAAGTTTCCAGTGTTTTCATAAAGATTTAATAAACCATAAAGCTTGCCTGTAAGGGGGGTAAATATGACCCTATGTTGCATGTCAAAGGCTGATAAGACAATGACAAATGTCAGATTTATTGGATCTTGGTCCTGTGTTCAGACCAGTGAATTATGCCCCTTTCTCTTAAAGATGATGCTACTTAGCATTTTCAACAGGGTGAAAATCCAATCTTTATTTTCCATGTTAAGAGTTAACTGAGAAACGATCTCTTGTTGGGCAGACTGAACCAATGTTGAAGTCATTTTATACTAAAATTGTGCTGTCAGCTTGGAACTAAATTTCAGTTAATTGAAAATGGGGCTAGGGGCCTTGAATTTCTTCATTATTCCTTTCCATTCCAGCTAACACAGCTTTTTCCTAATAATTTTTCTTTTATTTTTTTCTTTAAAATCAGCATTTATGGTGTTCATTAACCTGCTGGGTCCCATTTTTTCACTTCTGCATGGGAAGCATTCAGAGACGCATGCTGCTGTAACGTTAATTGTAATATTTTATACTTGCATTGCACTTTCATCATGAGCCCAAACAGACACATAAACAGTGCACGCTTCATGCACACAAGGATCACATGCCGCCGAAATGCAGCCAGCTCTGGACTGAAAAATAATAGCTATTCCATAGCACGTATCGGCAACAGTCAGCACCTTAGGGCAGGAGTTAAAGAAAAATGTCTTAGACAACTGAAACTTTTGTAAGAATTTTAGGGAGGTGGAATGTAATTATAGCCACTGAAATTCTGCCAGTGTTCAGTGATTAATACTCCTGTAATTTACGGATGTGGGAGAAATGAATGATACTGTACGGTATTATAACATTTTTCAGCTGATGTTCTAGTTATTTAAGACTCACAACAACCCTCTGCGACAGGTAAATGCAATTCCATTTTACAGAAAGAGAAACAGCCATAGAGGGTTGCCATGGACTGCTTACTCAGCTACCCCATGAAATCTGATCTATTGATGCCCAGTTCAGTTCTGCTCAGTTACTAAAGTATTCGGCCATGTCCACTGTCTTTTGATACCTCTTGGTAAAATTTCCCTTTCTATAACCTTTAACCAACAGGGGATCCTCAGAGGGCATCCTCACTGCCCAGGATCACCTTTCGTAATAAAAGCTGTCTCTAACAGCTAGCACTTTGTGTTCACTGTTCCCGGGTGGTCTGACTACCGTTCACCTTGCAGCTGGAAACCTGGCTATAGAACCACCCTAACACCTATGTGTGTCAGGCCACAGGCCACAGTTTCTAATATAAATTAAAGCAGACTTTTGGTGCTGTGGCACATCCTTAAATGTGCAGCTTTGATTATCAACTCCAATAATATTTGATATGCTCCTTTATGTTATGCCAACTACCACCAGCTTCTTCCTAGCTAAGGAGTGCTGGTGCCTACACAGGTGCACCCACACTCAATCTGTCCATGTTCTCTATGCTGGCAGGGAGGAATGGGGGTGGCAACAGCACTGCTCTATCTCTTTGCCACCGAAATATTCCCCATAGCACAGGGAGTCCTTACCTGGATGGATTCACTAGGTTTACAGCAGTTTTGCTCTATATAACAGGTCAAAATGGCTGGAGACCACCCAGAAAGAGGATCCCCATATATAACTCTTATTTGAGCTCTTCAAGGGAGTGTGGTATTCTTGGTATAGCACCGGGCAAGAATTTGGAAATTCTGAGAATTCTGTTGAGTTCTTCCACAGATTTCTTGTGTGACTTTGAGTAAATGACTTTTTTTCTTTAAGCCTGGGTTTTTTTCTTATATATGGTAGCTGGGAGGGTGTAACAAGACTTCTTTCATCAATGTTTGCAAAGGACTTTAAGATTTTGGGCTGGCAGGTGATACTGCACTACAGATTGCAACTCTTGGGCCAGGAAGTGCTAAACAGAAATCTACTGGATTTTACTTCTGAGCTTCATTTCAATCATTCATTTTGATACTGCAATGCAACCTTAATCTGGCAGATTCGATGCTTGCATCAGTGTTCACTTTACAAGGTATAATGCATGTACCTGATCTTCATTAATACTTCCAGTCTATAGTTTTTCTTATGAAAATATTTCCCTGCATCCTTGTTCATTACTATTTAGTGTGTGTTCTCCCAAGCAAATGTATTGTGACTCCACTCCAGTGGTGATGCGTCTCTGAAAGAATAGAAAATGCCATAAAACTCTAATGTAATTTTGCATTACAACACCCAATTCAGAAAAGAAAAATTCTCTCTCAGCCTTATAAAGCACAATATGCCAAGACAACAAATATACAACTCTGATATCTCCTACCCTAGCAGAGCTTGACATTGTAAAAACTCATTTTACTTTTTCATATTTCATCATTATTATTAAAGCCCATAACTTGGCTGAAAACAAACATTCATCAGCACTTAACAGCAGGTGCATCTTTTTCTGATCTTTTCCATAACAGAGGAATTATTGTATTTGAAAATAAAACCTACATTTTGGAGCCATTAGAAGGTGCTACAAATGAACACAAGATCTATCGAGCAGAGAACCTGAAAATTGGCCCAGGATCTTGTGGCCACCATTTCAACATCTCGGGTATAACTGTGGATGACACTGCACAGTCTTCTCAAGCATTCACTAGCAGGGTAGGTGGAAAATACAGGTTTGTGTTTCTAGATAATTAAGAATAATTTTATGTATGCTAGCTTTATGGTATTTTCTGCAAATTGATGAAATATTGTGATCAAAATTAATCCCTGCAGCAACATACCTGTTGTTTGAAACACGGCATGGAGGCTGAAATCTGGTGCTTATTCAAGACAGTGGCTGCATTCCCTTTGACTTCAGTGGGATCAAGGTTTTACCTGGAAATTCTCTGGCTATCATAAGAGAGGTAGTTTGAAAGGACCCTGTTGAGTTATCATGTTTCAGCTACTGCAGAATGATTACCTATGCCACAATCAGGTGTTTAGTCCAGGCTAGTTTTAAATACCTACCCAAAAAGAGGCTTCTACAGTTTCTCTTGGGACAAAAAATGCCGGTTTAAAAGAACTCACTGTAAGAAGAAATGACCATTTTAAAATTTTATCTGATCACTGTTAATTATAACCTACTTTTTAGCCTGTTCAATGGCTAACATTTTAGAGCAGTGATACTTGGTTGGGATGCTGTAAGCTACTTTTAAATGTGCTGCGGTGTGCCATGTAACATGAACACTGCTCACTAGAGTGTTTGATTCATACACACTGCTTACAGACATTAAAAAAAAAAACCAAATGGTGCTTAATTTTAAGCTCAGCATACTGCTGCACTGAGCGCAGTGTGCACTCAGAAGAGACATCACATTATTGTGACCTGGCTCGCCCAATGTCTGTATAGATCACGTGCTTCAGTGGGGCTTTTTGGCACTTTTAACTAAAGCTGATTCAATCAGTTATTAGATAAAAGCACCAAAAAGCCCCGCTGAATCACATGATCTATACAGATGCTGTAGAGGTGGGTCAAACTAATGCACTGCCTTTTCCAGTAAAATGCTGTTTTGTTTTGTTTTTTCACGTCTGTTAGCATCCACGATTCACAAGTAAACCAAGGTTTGAAGTAGGAATCTGTAGTGTCAAAAACATCCTGAATGGTTGACCTGTTTCAAAAAAATGTGTTTCCAGTCATAGTATCTTTTACATGCAATAATAATTAAATTAGTTTTGAAATGGGGAGCTGCTAAATTAATAGAAGTTATGGAGGGGTGCCTGGAATTTAAAAAGGTTGAGAATCAGTGGTGTACAGCAGGAGCTGGCAACCTTTCCAAGCTACCATCTGGTCCAGATTGGATGGTTTCAGCAGTGTCAGCAGCAAGGGGAGCTGCACCAAAGCTGGGCAGCTGGGAACTATGTCCTCACTGTTGCTGCTGCCATCTAGTCCCCTCACCTCCCTTGCTGCTGCATGGGCACAGCTAGAAGCTACTCATCCCCAGATTAGTTCCCCACTGGCTGGAAAATGCGCCCACTCTGCAGCTGGGAGGGTGGGGAAGTATGGGTAGTGGGGAGCCATGGCAATGTGGGCCAGTTGCCCAACCTCCCCAGTAGCTCCTTGCTGCCCTAGCATGGGTGCAGTTAGAGATAAAGCCTGCCGGCTCCCCAGGCCAGATCCAGTGGTTCCAGTGGCATGTTGCCAAGGGAGTTACGAGTTCTTCTCTCCTGCTTAGGGCTAGACTGTAACCTTGTCCAAGTTTGGAGGGACTATGCCTGGAAAGGGCCCAGTCACTTTAGTTGCTGTTCCTTATGCAGAGCTGGAGCACAATCCACAATCCTGTGCAGTGCCAACCCTGGTCTGCTGGCTGATGCAAAAGCAAAGAGTGTACTCACAACCCCACTTCTTCATCAAGTGTTTTCAAGACCTTCCTTTCTGAGCAGGGTCAAGCAGCAAGAGGGGGAGCATGGCCAGACCCCGCCCTGGGCCTGAGGCAAAGGGGGGAAGGGAAGGAGGAATCACAGAGAAGCGGGGCTGGCAGGGACCTCCAGAAGACCTCTAGTGTCTACTCCAGCCCCTGCCTGAGCTCTGGCCAGACCCTACCATACAAGCACAATCTAAAGAGCTGAGTCTTTGCTTGCAGTGTCCTCAACCAAGAACACCTGCCAGGGGGGCTCTGTACTTCTGGAGAAAAAAGCCACCAAGGGTTTCCTGTGGCCGGTTCCCCCCACCCCGAGCAGGGCCCAGCGCTGCTCCCCTCCATCCCTGAGGCAGTGTTGCACAGAGCCCCCCTCCCTCTGGCCCCTTTGCAGGGGAGGAGGAGGAGGGGAAGAGCCCTGCACAGTGGCTCTGTGACAGCCCAAACTGGCCTGGGCACAGGGAGCCAGGAGCAGCCCAGGCACACAGCTCCCATATCCTCAGTCCAAGCCACAGCCAGCTGAGAAAGGCCCTGCCCTCATGGCCCAACTCAGCCTAGCTCCTCTATGCCCACCTTCAGCTGCACTTGTGGGCTAGCTTGGCTCAGCCCCGCAGCCCCAGCCCCAGGTGAGGTGAGTGGATGGTGGGGCAGGGCCCTTCCCAGCCATCTGTGGCTTGGACTGGGGCTGTGGGAGGTGTGTGCCTAGATTGCTCCTGGCCCCCCATGCCCAGGCCAGGCTGGGCTGTCATGGAGCCGCTGCGGCTGGCAGGGCTCTCCCCCTCCTCCTCCCCCACCATGGGGCTGGGGTGCCCTGTGAGGCACTGCCTTGGGGCTCAGGGCTGGAGAGGCAAAGTGCTGGGCCCCACAGTGGGGCAGGAGTGGAAAACTGGCCGCAGGAAGCCCTTGGTCGCTTTTTTCTCCAGCAGTACCGAGCCCCCCTGGCAGGTGTTCTTGGTTGAGGACACTGCAAGCAAAGACTCAGCTCTTTAGATTGTGCTTGTATGGTAGGGTCTGGCCAGAGCTCAGGCAGGGGCTGGACTAGACACTAGAGGACTTCTGGAGGTCTCTGCCAGCTTCACTTCTCTCTGATTTCTCCTTCCTTTCCCCCATTCACCTCAGGCCCAGGGCCAGGGTTTGGTCATGCCCCCATTCTCACTATCTGAGCAGTGAGCAGGGGGGAAAGCCAAGCAGACCCTGGCTGGGGTCTGGCACCAGTGGGAGATGGAAGAGAGGGGGGATTAAACCTCCCCTTCCCCTCAGGCTACTAGTGTCTGGCCACACCTCCTGCCCCTGCTGCTGGAGCAGCAAGGGAGGCACTCTGCAGCAGGGTTTCCCACTCCCACCCCCTTCTCAGCCAGCCAGAGCAGTAATTGTGCTCTGGCTATGGCAGAGAGCAGTGGGGCCAGCCTTGCTCCACTGGAGCAAACAGCCCAGCCCAGTCCAGCCCAGGGCTGGAAAGCATCCTGGGATGCTGAAGGACTCTGAGTTAACTTAAACCAGGAAGGGTTCTGGGTAGGGCTGTGCAAAGCTTCAATCTCTGATTCGATTTGGAGGTGATTTGGCCCGATTCGGTGGCCAAATCTCTGAATCCAAATTGAATCAGAGAGGCGCTGCCCTGTGAGGCGCTGCCTTTAATCTCTCCGAATCAATTCAGGCCTGCCAGGGCCTAGCCCTGCCCCTCCCCCCCACCTCGCCCCGCTCAGCTTCCCTCCAGCTTTCCAGCCACTGTGGAGAGCTCACTCTAGCACTCCCGCCTCCCCCCGGCTTCTAGCCTGAGCCACTGCAGGTGTGTGGCTGCATTAGACTAACCTGCAAAGATTGAATCGATTCAGGCTCAGGCTTTTTGAATGTCTGTACTTAGCCTAAGTGGTTTTTCTAAATCAAAGCCTTACTCATTTTTTCTTGGTTCTATTTGCATTTCTTTGTGGTTTCTTCAATTCTTCTTGCTAATGAGATGGCACAGACTCTAAGCAAATTACAAATGCTGGTAATATACTGTGATTGCTGGTTGTTATTATAGCAATGCTTTTGCTTGTGATTATAGTAATACTTTTGGTCTTTAAGAGAGTAGCTAACAATGTCTAGCATGGCTTTCTACCCACCCAAGAAGGGAAAGAACATTATAGCTATGCTACTTAGCTAATAATACACGTTGAGATTTAATGAACCTTTAAATTGTAATAAGAAAGCTTCTTATGCAGACAGAACATGTTCTCAACATTTTATTTGAGGTATATATCAGTTGTAATTGTTTTTATGTAGGAGGAAATGCATTTGATTTGAAATGCATCTAGCTAATGGAAATTGTAGAAAATGAAATGAGCTTCAAACAAGAAGGAGGAAGTGCTGTGAAGAATTCATATGCAGGCTGGATAAAGATTATAGAAAGGATTGATTTTGACATTTAAAAGTAACATAGTAGCACAAATCTGCCCGCCATCATTAGTAAGTGCGAAATATTAGTATTTATAGCCAAACTGCCTACCCACCCCACTAAGCCTGTACATTAAGTTCAGTGTTAAAGAGAGCAGCCTAACTGGCATGAAGAGATGTTATTTAACTAGTGGAACCAATTCATTTGTATTTAAGGAACATTTAACAATACATTTCCAAATTTCTTTTTATCCCAGTAAATTATGTATTAACAACTGCAGACACTGTTTTATGTATTAGCTGGTATCTGCAACTGCTGGAAACATGTATATTGAAACTTCAGAAATAAATCTGCACAAATTTTATTTATACTTTCTGGTAAGAGATTCCTTATTACTTTTTTAAAGCTGTGTATAGACAACATGAGCTTTCAGTTTCAATCAGTAAGTGAATTTCTTTTGGAGTCACTTTAAATATTAGAACTACAAGTTTAATAGGATTCCAACTTCTTTATTTGCAATTACTATTTTATATCATGCTATTTCATCCTTACATTAAACTTGCAACTGTCTTTTAGGGAGTACTGTAATATCCTACTCCATCTCTCTAAACAATATCAAAACTTAGCTATATTTTCCAATGAGCAAGACTATTGCTACTCCCTGTACTTGCTTTCCAATACTTTATTAAGATTGCCCCAGATGCTCATTAATTTGCAGTTAAGATTCAAGTTTATAATCTTATGCAACTGAAATAACTGCTAGCAATTAATGATAAAATGTATGTTGATAGATTATGTAATTAATATAAATGTTCAGTTACCCTCATTTCAGGGGTATATGTTGTAGCCATGTTGGTCTAAGGAAAGGTAGGAAAAATCCAGCCCAT